GTGGCTCAACGACGACCTTAAAGAGTCACTCTTCGAGAAATCTCTCACACCAAGCGACGTGGGAAAACTCAACCGCCTCGTCATACCAAAACAACACGCCGAGAAATACTTCCCTCTCAACACCATCATCTCCAATGCCGACACGTCATCTTCGTCGGAGAAAGGTATGCTTCTTAGCTTCGAAGACGAATCAGGCAAGTCTTGGAGATTCAGATACTCTTACTGGAACAGTAGTCAAAGCTATGTCTTGACTAAAGGTTGGAGCAGATTCGTTAAAGACAAACATCTTGATCCAGGCGACGTCGTTTTCTTTCAACGTCACCGTTCTGATTCCCGGAGACTCTTCATTGGCTGGCGAAGACGCGGCCAAACCTCCTCCTCCTCCGCCGCGGCGATGAACACGACGTCATATTCTACTTCTATGGCTCCTCCTCCTTATCTTCATCAAATCCATGCCTCTAATAATAATTACTCTAATCCTCCTTCTCACTCAGAGTATTCACACTACGGTATGTTATATCTTATTTCTCTTTTTATTTTCTAACCAAATTATAAATGTATGACAAGAAAATCATCTTTAATCGTGTGTCCAAGAGTATATCGACTTCTATATATCTATAATGTTGTCGGGGAGGATTAAAACAATTAAACACTCATATTTAGTAGCATTTATTTTTCTAATAGTGTATTGTGATTATTTTTAGTTCTATATATACTGCTTATTACAACCTGAGATAAGTAACATTCCATTTATACAGCTACGATATTTTTTTATAATTTTCTCTTAATAAAAAAATAAAGACCCCGACAATTTCTTTTACTTATTTCTCCAAGTTGTAATTAAGATTAGCTATAAACGCGCTTATTACAGCGCGTGATGAAGACCGTCCAATCCCCTGGGACAAACGTGCTTTTTGTTCAGTTGTGTGTACTTTTGTGTTTTGTTTCCTTCGATTAAACTCATGACGCGCACGTGTCGTGATTACAGGCGCCGCCGTAGCAACAGCGGCGGAGACACACTCTATACCGTCGCCGTCCTCCGTCGTCGGGAGCTCTAGGACGGTGAGGCTTTTCGGTGTGAATTTGGAATGTCAAATGGATGAAGACGACGGAGATGTCGCTGCGGCCGCCGCCGTCGAGTCACCGTGCACCGACGGTTACTACGGCCAAAACATGTACTACTATTACTCTCCTCATCCTCATAACATGGTAATTTGACTGTTTTACCCTTGTGCAAAAAGTTGTTATTATCTGATTTTTATTTTGGGTACATTACATCATCAATGTATTAATTATACTATGATTTTAAATTAAGATCAAATAATTTATAAAACAGATGGATGATGCTGTTTCTCGAGACGAGACAGTTGAAATAATAATTTAAAAAACGAGATTGATTAGGAGAGATTTTTTTTTGTTTGTTAATTAATAATTAGTATAATGAAGAAGCATCTGGAATCTGATAAGAGACTATAGACTTTTGAGCAGTCGCACATGGCCGCATCGTTAGCGACTTTTAAACCCTGTTTTGATTTTGTTTTTATTTACCTGAGCCACTTCCATTTATTTTATAACCAAAATCATTAATTAATCTCTTTAATCACTGTTGCTTTAATCCACTTTTTTTACTGGCGCCGCAATGTTATTCCACAATGCTAAAACTAATTGATATTTCGAGTATATAGCTAAGAAGTTTAAATTAGAAAAGAAATATATGAGCATGAATAGTGAAATGTGTACTAAATTGATTTTTTTTTTTTTGTATTCCAAATTGGGTATTATTATGTTTATGAATATTGATAATATTTGGATTTTTTTTTTTTTAATAAAAACAGAATATAGCTTTCACGGGGGATACGATGAAGCAGCTAGGAGAAAGACGAGGATGAGATCCAAAGACGTGACAAG